TGTGCCCAGTCATTCCACTTACCAAGCTGCTTGCTGTGTTCATCTACATGTTTACATCACAGGATTTCTTTATGTCTGTATCAGACATGCTATACATTTTCCAATTGTCACTCCATGCTGAGTCTTCCTTGGCTGTTGAAGATGCAGCTCTTCCTGTCCTGTGCTGATCTGATGTCTTTGCACATGCACACTGGTGGATTGCTGTGTCCAGTTTCACATCGCAGCACTTAACTCTGTATTTGTTGGCTGACTTTTGTTTGTAGGGTGCACAGAATCTAATTCTGCTTCTTTGCATGCGGATGCCTTCTTGGACCACCACTATTTGTTGAAGACACTGTCTTCCTTCTATGTGTGTTATTAACACTCTTGACACACATTAGGTGAGAAGAGTTCATGGATTTATTCCTGGACTCTTACTCTGTCCCATTGGAGTATAGCCTTGTTTTATTACTACCATACAAACTCTATGCCCCTCCCCCATCCAACAGAGCCCCTCCTCCACAAACCCTCCTCCACAGCAGCCAGTCCTGGTGCTTCACTTCCTCTTCTGTTTGGGAGCCACCCAGGTCCCCACCCCTGAAGGCAGGGAGCAGAGGTGTCCTGAAAGCAGAGGCTCCTCAAAGCTCTTGGCAGAAGTCTAAGTCTATGGCCAGAGCTGCAACTCTCCTCCCATCCTGTGCACAGGCTGACTGGGCCCCTGCATCTGACCCTGGTGAGTGTGGGTAGACAGGGCTGGGAAATCCTTTCAGTTTCATTTGCAAGTGTGAAATGCAAACTGCTGGTCATGTCATCTGTCTGTAGAGGGAGGGTATGGTGTTTGGGGCAGGTTGAAAATGTACAATCGCTGTTCTTCAAATGTATGAAGGTAAATAAAGTTGATGTTGGGTGGCTAAAAGTTTCATCAAGCACTGAAATTAACACAATTGCAAAGGAAATTTGTTACCACTGGTATTTTAAGGGAAATGAACAATTCATTCTTTTTCTTTATCTCATGATGTATTGTGTGTCTAAAAGTCTGTAGTTTGCTCTACAGATATTCACCATCTTCTTATAACTCTTACTAAGATGGTGGGGAAACAATTTGAACAGACAGAGAAATTAAAGGACAGAAAACTACACTGCAAACCTTTCAGTATATTGTGTGTCTACAATGCCAGCTTCTTGTCTTTCCCTGTGTGATAATAGAAATGTAATGGCTTGTCTAGTTTTATAAGCAGGGAATGTTTAAAAGTAACACATATTTATGAAGCACCATGTGCCCAGGCCTGAACATTTGCACAGAAGTGCCCTCATTATGAAATTGACATATGCATCTCCAACAGTGCATTCACATCATTCAATGAGTATTAAAATGCATGCACAGGCGGGATTTTTCCTACATTTAACTACGACTAGCTATCTGTGAAGTATTTGAAAGGAGGATAAATAAAATAAGCGGAAAAAAAAAGAAGATAGAACGGAGAATTGTTGACAGAAAGTACAAGATACATTTGGGGGCCCTCAATGCTGATTTGAGTTACATTTTTAGAGATTTCATTTTTATTTGATGTGTATGAGTGTTTTGCTTGAGTGTAAGTGCACTGCTTGCACACCTGGTTCCCGTGGAGGACAGAGAGGGCCCGGGATCCCCTGGAACTGGAGCTGCAGACAGTTGGAAATCCCTTGTGCAGGTGCTGGGAATGGAAGTCAGGTCCTTTGCAGGAGTGGTGTGTGCTCCTGACTGCTGAGCCTTCTCTCCAGCACCTTCAATTTCATTCTTGAGACCATAGATAGCAGCCAGGTTCACTGTCACATGAGTCCTGCTAGCAGAAAGCAGCCGCATTCCCTATCTCTATGTACCTTTTGGCTGGAATCAGAAACTTGTTAGATAATGTGTTCTATCTCCCCGGCTTCATTAGAACTTTCTCATGACTCTCAAGCAGACAGAAACAAGCAAGCTTGAACTCTAGTGGCTTATATCAGAATAGATTCCAGGTGGAAACTGAGTCATCTGTGTGCTCCCACACTCTCACTAGTTCAATCTCCCTGAGGATTCAACCCCTATATTAAATAATAGTTGAGGGATGGTCATCCTTGTCTCTATCCTGTTACTGTATTTAAAGGAACTAATTTGAGTTATTCCCTATTTTGTATAATGTTGTTGATAGGATTATCCCAGTAGCCTTAATTTTATGCAGGTGTGAATTTTCTCTTCCTGGTTTGTTTAGGGTTGTAATCAAGAATGAATTTAGTTTTTTTAAAGACTCCATCTATTGGGATTACGATCTGGTAGGATACAAGAAATTACCTTTTTATTTGTTAAATCTTGCATTACAGCTTAAGATGTGATCTGTCTTGGTAAAAATAGATGAGCTGCTGAGGAGGTTGTGAACTCTTAAATTGTATAGAATATTCTGGAGTCCATTTGATCTACAGCACAATTAGCTCTGAAGTTTGTCAACTTGTGAGTGCCTGGACATTGTATGAATGGGAGTGAAGTATTATGCTAAACCAGGAAGGATAGGGAATATTAGCATGGCCCCTGTAGAATGATGACACACAAATTGGTGAAGGATTCATATTTTTAGGATACAGTTTATCTGATAGGAAAAATGTGTTCTCCTTAGAAAGGAGGGAGGGATGTAAATGGAGGAGTAGGAGAGATGCATGCAAAATAACAATAATGATGTATGAAATAGCTTCAAGGAATAACACTATTAACTATTTCCCTAAAATAATAAAAGCTATAATGCCCCAAATTCAGTGTATACATATATATACATACTTGCAATGAACCTTTCTCATCTATGCCAATGGAGCTCCCAGAGACCCCCTAACAAAAATGAAAAACAAATACCAAACATGAGAAGACCTCTTTTGATTTGTTGGTGATTTCTTTCTAAGACACTCCTAGGACATAAAGTTTCTTGCTATTGTATTGCCCTTAGTTATCCCCAGAGGTAGATGCTAATTACACATTGCTGAAGAAACCATGGTCTTTAGACACAGGACCCAGAGGGCCCTGAGCTCTAACTGACTTTGATGCTCCCCCTCCCTGCCCTACCACACCCTGAGGACTGTCTTTCATGTAACTAGAAGGCATAATGAAGCTTCCAAAGGAGAGAGGCAACAACTGTCCAGACTATCTAGCAATGACACTCAAGAACTTCATCCATGATAACCTGTACAATGGCCCTGTGGGTGTAGGAGTGGCACATAAACCTTGGCAGTGACTGTGGTGGTTTGAAAAAAATGGCCCTCAAAGAAATTGGCACTAGTAAGAGGCAAGGCCTTGCTGGAGTAGGTGTGGTCTTGCTGGAGGAAATGCATCACTGTGGAGGTGGGTTTTGTGGCCTCCTATATGACTGAGACAGACTGCTTCCTATTTCCTGCATAAGATGTAGAACTCTCAGCTACTTCTCTAGCAAAAATGTGTGCATGCATTCCACCTTGTCCCACCATGATGATAATGGACTAAAACTCTGAACTGTCAGTGAGCCACCCAATTAAATGATTTCCTTTATAAGAATTGTCACAGCCATGGTGTCTCTTCACGGTAATAGAAACCCTAACTAAGACAGTGACCAACAACTTCATGAGGCAGCTTCAGAAGCCAAGGAATCTTCTAGCACCTGCTCTGATCTCTCAGGCTCAGCAGTCATCCATCCACAGGAGCCACATCATCCCTGGTCACAGGAGGCAGGGCTGCCTGTCCTCATGCCTCCACAGCCTGTGCTAGGCGTGTGTCTGTCAGTCACTCCCACCTCCACTACTGTCCCTCAGGCTGCCTACCAACCAGTGCATCCCAGGGCACCATGACAAGTTTTTGATGATTTTGGATCCACACCACAGCTCAAACTCAGAGAATAGAGCTCCTGGCTCTGGCACTGTGAGACATGAGACACATAGAAATCAGACTGTGCCCACCTGTGTTCCTTGCATTGTATAGGGCAGTAGTTTTCAGAGTGTGCCTTGCCATGAGTGACTCCATTTCGTATAAAAGTGGTTTGCTTCATTTGAAAAGCAAATAGTGAGGCAAAAAGACTCTTTACCTTATGTGTACAATTGTGTAGCATAGAGAATAAACAAGGTTAATCAACAACTAACTAGTACAAATAAATTATTCTGAAATATAAACATATGAAGCCAGGAACACCTAGACTCATGGATGTTTAAAGACCTTTTCCAAGATAACAAGCTTATATGCTTGTCCAAATCACCAGAGCCATGAGCGCTACAATTCCATCTCTTGGATCATACTCTGACCCATCATCAGGACTCCAGATATATGCATCACTAGATACAAGGCAACAAAATCTCAACTCTGTCTCCAGGTCTTATGCTTATCATGATTAGCCCAAATTTAAGTGACTCACTTGATCTCACAATTGATCACACCCCTTATACCTGGAGTCAGTTCTGTGCTTTGAAGAAATCTACCCCTTAAACCATCTCTACATCTTTCACTGACACCAAGTCTTGAACCATCTGTGTATTTTGGCCAGCCTTTTCCATACTAGCTCTGTCTGCATGTAGATATGTTATTTGATTTTGTCTTCCACAAATCCACACATATGTACAGGTGTGCATGTGCACACACACACACACACACACACCTCATGCTCAAGCCTATATGCATAATTATGAGATGTGGTAATGCTAGTCAAGTATTCTACTTCTGAACTTACGTAATATCATAATATGCCTTTGAAGTAAAAGAAATCTGACCCCCATCTGTTCCATTCATCCTTTATGAATGTATAACGAATAACTGCATGCATGTTCTACTCAATTGAACTCATTTATTTCTTAGAAATTTGATACATAAGTGGAGTGTATGTACCCAGTTATATCTGTTTCTCATTGGGTCTTTAGGTAATCACCGTGATATGTAGTGTTTATCTAGAAGGAATCTGCCTGTGACTGCACCGTTTAATACAATCTGTAAATGTGCTGTGCTGGGTCATAATGTTGTTTGTGTGTCCATCAACTTACTATTGCTGTCCCTTCTACAGGAAGGGAGAACCTATCGAGATGTCTTCCAAAGGTGACCCTGTTAAAATCACAATGATAGAAAGAAATCCCAATAACCTTCCTGGAAAGGGCACTAGTTACCCGAAGACATTACCTGGAGAGGTTGTGTTAAGTTTTCATAACATCAGCTATCAAGAAACAGTGTCGGGTGAATTTCCATTTTGTAAAAAGACTTTGGTGATAGAAAGACTATCAAATATCAGGTATGTACATGAAGTAAAGAGAACAATATATTGGACAACTTTTTCCTGTAACCATAGATTTTCTCTGTTATTAATAATCTATGTGTGCATGTGTGTGTATGTTTGTGCTACTGTGTGTATATAATTGTACATGTGTGCATGTTCAGATGTGCAGAGTGTGGATGCATTGACATAACATGGTACCAGGCTGTTAGGAGACAACCTTGAGCTTTGCTCTTCACCTTCTACCCTGTAATAGACGCAGTCTCTCATTGTCTACTGAGGTATATGCCAGGTTAGCAGCCTGCAAGAGTCCTGGGATTCTTCTGTCTCTGTCTCCCATCTCTCCCTAGAGGATGGTTACAGTTTCCCACAAGTGCACCCAACTTTATGTGAATTCTAGATGTTTAATTTAGGTCCTCACCCTCACACAGCTATTGCTTCATCCATTGAAACATCCCTGAGCCTCATCTTTTCATACATACATACAGACACATGATCACATAATGAGATGGAGACTAAAAAAAACATAATGGATTAATAACACAGAAAATTTGTTCTTTGAAAATGCAAACAAGCTTGACAAACCCTTACACATATTATTAAAACATAACAAAACAAACAGAAAAAATTCTGAGACATGTTTGAAATTTAGTAAAATTAATGTTGTAAAAGTAAATATTAAAGACATAGTGTTAAATGGTGCTGGCATAACTGGAGACTGGCATGTAGAAGATTACAGATAGATCCATATCTATCACCATGCACAAAACTTAAGTCCAAATAGATCAAAGAACTCAACATATATCTAGCCACACTGAATCTGTTAGAAGACAAAGTGGGTGGTACCCTTGAACAAATTGGTACAGGAGACCACTACCTGAACATAACTCCAGTAGCACAAATACTAAGATCGGCAACTAATGAATGGGAACTACTGAAACTGAGAAGCATCTGTAAGGACACAGTCGGCAAGACAAAAAGGCAACCCACAGATTGGGAAAAGATATTCACTAACCCCACATCTGACAGAGGGCTGATCTCCAAAATTTACAAAGAAGTCAAGAGGCAAGTCTCCAAAATACCAAAGGATCCAATTAAAAAGTGGGGTACAGAACTAAATAGAGAATTCTCAGTACAGGAGTCTAAAATGGCTGAGAGGCACTTGAAAAAGTGCTCAACATCTCTAGCCATCAGTGAAATACAAATCAAAACAACTATGAGATACCATCTTACTCCTGTCAGAATGGCTAAAATCTAAAACACTAATGACAGTTTATCTTGGAGAGGATGTAAAGAAAGGGGAACATTCCTTCACTGCTGGTTGGAGTGTCAACTCATACAACCACTTTGGAAATCAGTATGGAGATTCCTCAGAAAAATGGGAATCAGTCTACCACAAGATCCAGCAATTCCACTCTTATGCGTATACTCAAAAGATGCACATTCATACAACAAGGATGTCTGTTCCACTATGTTCATAGCAGCATTATTTGTAATAGTCAGGACCTGGAAGCAAACTAGATGCCCCTCAACTGAAGAGTGGATAGAGAAAATGTGGTATATTTACATAATGGAGTACTATTCAACAGAAAAACGCAATGGAATCTTGAAATTTGCTCCCAAATGGATGGGACTAGAAGAAACCATCCTGAGTGAGGTAACGCAGTCACAAAAAGAGAAATATGGTATGTACTCACTCATATATGGATTTTAGACATGAATCAGGTATGTTCCAGCATACACTCCCACTGCCAGAGAGTCTGGGAAACAGAACTTTCATCCAATGACTGATGGAAGCAGAGGCAGACACCCACAGTGAAACACTGAACTGAACTCCTGGAATCCAGTAACAGAAAAGGAGAACTGCTGAGCAAAGGGGTTAACACTGGGCTGGTTTAACCCACAGAAACATTTGACCTGAGCAAGTTGGACCCCAGACTGATGACTGGGTTGACAGAATGGGACTCATCCAGACCGCCTGAATGTGGGTGCCAGTGAGGAGGCCTAGGCAATCTATGGGACCTTGGGTAATATTTATCCCTGACATACAAATGGAATTTGGTTGCCCATCCCACAATGAGGGATGCTCTCTCAGCCTGGACTATTGGGGTAGAACCTAGGCCCAGCCATGGATGAAATGACAGACTCTGGTGATCAACCATGGAGGGCCTCACCCTCCCTGGGGATTGGAGGGGAGATTGGATGGGGGACTGGGGGGCTTGGTGGGGAGGTTGAGGGAGGAGGGGATGGAAGGGAGCTGGGATTGACATGTGAAACAAGCTTGTTTATGACTTACATTTAAAAAAAGAAAGAAAAAGGCATACTGTCAAAAATCTAGTGATATGAGGGAATATTGCAATTTTAAATACTACCAATTTGAAGACCTAAAAGAGTTGTGTATACACACACACACACACACACACACACACACACACACACACACACACACACACACACACACACACAGCCTGCCAAAACTGACCTCAGAGTTTATAACAGGCTGACTGGAGCAGTTACAAGTGATGAGATGGAAACAATGAGGAAGTCCCAACAGCAAAAAGTCTGGGTCCTCATGTATTTGCTCAAAATTCACCAAGAGCTACAAAGAGCTAAATCCAATGATCCGCACATTATCCCAAGAAACAGAGTAGCCATGCTTTCAAACAAATCTAAGGACAGAGCACACACCAAGCATTTATCCAGCTCAGTCGGCTTAGACTTTTCCTCCCAACTCTAAACATCCCCTCTGTTCTTGAACACTGATCTTTTCTACTCCTCCACCTACAACCTCCACCATTTTCCTACCCACTGGAGAATGGGCAGTTCAAAGGATTCACATGTTGTCTGGGTATGAAATAACAAATGGGAATGGAGTTAAGTTTTCTCTAAGAGAATGCCTTTTTTCAATCTGGATATTAACTATTGTGAATCAGTTTTCTGACATAACTAGTATCTGTACTGTATTTACTCATTAATAAAGAATATCCTCTGTCCTCTTCATGAGGGATGACTCCCAACTCTAAACTGAGCATATTCTAATTGCTTTAACAGGGAAGGAAATTATCATTTCTTGTGTGTGTGTGTGTGTGTGTGTGTGTGTGTTTGCGCGCGCAGGCTTAACTTTTCTATTTTGATTCAGATGGAGTGTTAAACTTGGTAATGCTTTCTTGTCTCTGGAGTGCTTCTTTCTAGTGTTTTGATGCTTTGGCTTTGATTTGATTCTATTTTAATAGTAAGGACACGTCTACTGATATCCCATGACTTGTTGCTTTCTTGTGATGATGTTTACTAGGCAGCAACAGGGCTATATGAAGATACTGACCATCAAACATTAGCCAGAAGCTATTATGAACTTGACACATGCAGGCTGTATGTAGGTGTAATGGAGTGTTCATGAGAACCTGCTACGAGCTTCAAGCACACTGAATTTAGATGCACCATGTTTCAAAAAGACAAGACTTTATGTAGTAAACAAGGAATTTTGTGATATCTGAGCCATTTTTCTGATGAGTTCCCACTAGCAATTAACATATCTTATAAATAATAGACCTCTATTAATATATTTTTTCTGTGACTATTTGATTATTTTCTGTGTACAGTCTCATCCAACTTCAAGAGCATATTCACTGTAGACAATAAAGTAATATAACTTGTTTTAAATAGACAAATCATCCGGTTTGATTTTGTGTTTGCAGTGGGATCATGAAACCTGGCCTCAATGCCATCATGGGACCTCAGGACAGGAGCAGATCTTTGTGAGTATAACGGAAAGCATGTGCAAGCCCATTGCATCCAGTTTCCCTGCTGTGAAACCACTTCTATAAAAGTTGTCTAAGTATTTGTGATTGTATATGTGTGAGTGTGTCCCGTGTGCTGTGGATAATGTGCAGGAGGGTGCATTCTGATTTTCTACCAGTATCAGAAAGTCTTACTAGGTCAATTTACTGATGGGAAATGATAGAACGATTGGCATGGTGTTGAGTCTTATTGGTATTTAATGTGGGAAAAATATTTGAATTAGAAAGATGAAGTTTTCTGGAGACAAGAAAACCTCACCAGGCTTGACTCTCAAAATACAGCAGCACATTACCTGTTTTAGTTCCCATGGTCATATAGCAGGGAAGGGCAGTCAGGTGGTTCATGTCTAGCAATTATAATTCTTGGCTGTATTAGAGAGCACATGCTGAAAAGGAGTGTGTGTGTGTGTGTGTGTGTGTGTGTGTTTGTGTGTGTGTGTGTGTGTGTTTTCAGTTAAATTTTTGACAGGAATAATTTTTATTCTGAATGACACAATGATGATTGCTGCTACTGAAGGGAGAAAGCAAACCATACAACATATATAACCTTTTGTAGGTTATTAGATGTCTTAGCTGCAAGAAATGATCCACATGGATTTTCTGGAGATATTTTGATAAATGGAAAACCTCGACCTACTAATTTCAAATGTAATTCTGGTTATGTCCCACAAGTAAGTGTTGATGAATTCATAATTTTAGATTTCCTATGTGTCTGTATGATTAGATGCTCAGCTTGTAGATTTGTGTGTTTCCAGTTCATTATGTGAAACATTTATAGGCCCAACTTTCTCTACACCAGCTTTTCCTAATGACTCATTAGCCTGGCACTATTAAATAGGAAGATGAGGATGGATTGAGTATGACATCTGTGGTACAGTATTAGTAAGTGCAGCTGTGTTTTAATTCTACAAATTATTGTTGTTGTCCAACCTTGCCCTTCCTCCATCTTTCTCCACTGCCTAGAGCAGCTGACCTGACAAGGGTTATCTCTTGAATCCCAGACTGATGCCTGGGAATCCAGCATGGGACTGATCAAGACCCCCTGAATGTGAGTGTCAGTGAGGAGGCCTAGGTAATCTATTGAGCCTTGGGCAGTAGATCAGTTTTTATCCCGGGTATACAAATGGACCTTGGACTCCCATCCAACAATGAGAGATGCACTCTCACCCTGAACTCTTGGGGGAGGGTCTAGGCCCTGCCCTGGATGGAATGACAGACTATGGACACCCCCATGGAGGGCCTCACCCTCCCTAGGGAAATGGAAAGGGAATGGTAAGGTAACCCTCCTTGGGAGGGTTGGTAAGGGGGCACGGGAGGAAGGGAGGGAAATGGAGAGGGACCTGGAATTGACATGTGAAGCAACCTTGTTTCTAATTTAAATTAAAAATATATATATATATAAAGAAATATTTTCTGAAAATAATGGCAGGTAGCAGTCACCAAAATCCCTGCGCTCTATTGGAAGACAAATGGAAAGGGGATCAAAGTGATTTCATCAGGCTCTCTACTTGAAATTAATAAGATTGAAAGGCTATTTTTAAGTAGAACAGTACATTGGGTGTACTTTATATGTGACTGGAGTGATGGTGTTACTGATAACTTTTTGCAATTAAAATTCCACTTAACTTTAAGAATGACACAGTGATGAGCACGGTGACTGTGAGAGAGAATGTAGAGTTCTCAGCAGCTCTTCGACTTCCACTGTCTATAACAAGAGATGAAAAAAGAAGGAGAATTAATGATGTCCTTAAACTCCTGCATCTGGATGAGGAGTCAAATGTCAAGGTAATGTGAAGAAAAATTTCAAAAGATTCAGAACCAAAAGATGGAGAGAAACAGAGACAGAAAGACATCTCTGTATGGATAATATGACCCTCCATCATCAGTTTCCTATAATGTGTGTGACCAAGGTGATTGTTTTCTGTATTAATGTGTGAGTGACTGGTTACATGTTATAAAGTGGAAATTTAGCTGGGAAGCTACCTTAGCAATGGTAAAGCCTGGGAATGGAATGTGATTCAGCAGGAAAAAGTGCTCCTCACAATAGAAGAACAATAGAAAACCTGACATTTACCACACTTTCTTTTTTCATTAGTGATGGAATTTTGTGTGTTTTGGCTCTGTTTACTAAAGTTGTTTTATATTTATAATAAGATACTTTCTTTTCTATATATAAGAATAGCCAGTCATTGTCCTAAATTGCTTATTGACTTTTAATGAACAACATAGAAATAAATGTTTTTATTAACTTCTTGGAGTCATGAAATGTAATAGATTGCAAGAATTTTAATGTAACTTGTAAATGAAAACGTTCAAAAATACCTGTGTGTGTGTGTGTGTGTGTGTGTGTGTGTGTGTGTGTGTGTTTGTGAGTCCTGAAGGCCATAGCATACTCATAGAGATCATAGGACGCCTTTGTCAAGGGTGCATTCTCTCCTCACACCCGTTTTTTAGGCAGGGTCTGTCCTGTTCTGTTTCCTACACATGCCTGATGCTGCTGATCAACCTCCCATCTCACTGTGATCACATCTTAATGGAATACAGATTCCTGCCACTGCATGTAGCTTTTATATGTGAGTTCCAGGGATTGAACTCAGGCTTCAGGCTTTTCCTGCTAAAACTTCTCTTCAGCCTTTCATAAGATTTTCGTTTAAGAAATGTAGAGGGAATATGAGGTTACTGTAAAAGTTTGACTGTTTGGCCAGCACAATAGTACACTTGCTAATACCAGTCTTGTAGGCTTCCAAGTGTTCACAATAGCAACTCACTAAAGCTGTTTCTTACTGCCGTATTTTAAAAGAACATTGGTAGTATTTTATTCCTGAGGCTTAATTACTTTTAATCCATAAAAATAAGGACATCTGCTTATCTATAAACCCTATTCTTAACTATCCAAATGAAAAATTCATTTATATCCTCAGCCTTATCATGACTACACTCACCCACATTCCCCAGACATCCATTCTTATATGTTATCAGCAGGACTTCATCAGGGTTTGGTTATCATGTTTGGGGAGGATTATTCCCTATTTCTGTGTTCCCAAACCTTGGGATCCCCTCTCAACTTACACAGTGACATTGACTGGTATAAAGACTGTGCTAGTTTGACCTATAGACCATACCAGCTTTTAGATTTGCTTACAATGATGAGTCATGAATTCTGTGATAGTATACAGTGTAAATGTCAATTTGCAAAATCATAAGGTAGTTTAAAAAGTCCCAATAATGCAATGTGGAATTTTTGTTGAAAAGCAGTATGAGTGTGTGTATCTGTGTATACTTCTGTGTGTGTGTTGTGTAGGGTGTGTGTGCGTATGTGTCTATGTGTGTTGCGAGGGTGTTAAATGACCACTAATTTACTAAAGATACTTCATCTTCTCCTGTCCCATCTTCCTCATTCCTTAGACAAAGATTCCACTGCGCCAGTCAGGGAGTTTGATAACTCATTGCCCTGGAATATGTGACTTGATAAGGAACAAACAGTAACTGTTATTAGCATGGGTTTCATGTCCACTCTGACCTTAGACTCTTTCTACTCCCTTGGTAAAAAGGAACATCCACCTTCTTCTCCCAGGTGCCCACACTCTGCTCCTTGGGATATTGATATAACAAAACCTTTCATTGCTGGACAGGCTAGTTCACCAAATGACAATGACTGGGGTTGTTCTTGTTGATAATGATGGTTGTTGGTGCTTTAGCCTAGATCTAAGGAGCTCAGGAAGAGAACCAGTATAGCAATGGAGCTGGTCGCTGAGCATCCCATTTTGTTCTTGGATGATCCCACCACTGCCTTAGACTTGAGAACTACTATTGATGTCATCTCAGTTCTGAGAAGGTAAGTGCATTTTGGTGCAGGAATTTCAGAAGTAAGGAACAGCATTTCTTCCTTGTTAGTTAGAGGAAACTTCCATTAACAAGGAATACACATCGAGAACAGTGAGAGAAAAGATGGCTGTGGTGAAGGTGGAGCACTTATTTAAACAGCGTGTCCCCATAACACTCAAGCATGTGACAAGTGAGCTGGGAGTGAGTGAGTGAGTGAGTGAGAGCTGGATGGAGGGATAATGCATTTGTTCTGAGGCAAAGCACATTTGGCGGGTCTGGAACATTGATTAGACCAAGTGGAGTGGGACCTGGTGGCCTGACAAGATGGGAAGTACCTAGTACACTGCCAAGGACACCACAGACTGGGTGACTTGATAGAAGTTAAATTTCTTTCAGTTCTGGATCTGGGAAGCCAGATATTACAGTATCCACACGCTGTTTCTGCTGAAGCCTGGGTAACTGAGTTGTGGATGGTGTCTCATACCTCTTTATGTGCCTATACCCTGATCTCTTAAATGGACACCAGTTACATTAGAACACACTAGTATTCATTCTAACTTAATTACCTTTTTTAAAAAGTCTATCTCCATTACAGCCACAGTCTAAGTTCTTAGATGTAAGGTCTTCCACAAATGAGTCTTTGGAAGGACACAATTCAACCCTTCACATTCACAATTGGTCATCCCTCTGTGATTTCTCCCAGTGCTCTGGGAGCAGACTCAGGCCTTGTTATGCTGTGTACTCCTTGGTCTCCAAGACTCCTAGAAGTGCATCCTAGTGGTAGAATCATTTTATTTTTTCATTCATTCATTCATTCATCTATCTATCTTTCTTTCTATCTACCTACCTACCTATCTATCTATCATCTTTATTTTTTAATTTATCTATCTATCTATCCATCTACCTACCTACGTATCATCTTTATGTGTGTGTGTGTATGTGTGTGTGTGTGTGTGTGTGTGTGTGTGTGTGTGTGTCTGCACATGTGCAGCATGCATGTAGAGGTTAGAGCACAAGTCAAGGAGTTGACTTTCTCCTTCCACCCAGTGGGTTCCAGGGACTGGACTTGGGTCTTTAGAATTGGCATCAAGTTCCTTCACCCATTGAGTCATGTCATTTTTCTGGCTTGAATTTTTATCATTTTATCATGCTGTGGTTACTGGGTTATATGATATGAAATTCTAACTGTTCCATTTGTGATTTATTAATATTGTGACAGGGAAATCATTTGGCTCTTACACCATTTTTTGCCCTTATCTCCTCTCTAACAATTGCTGTCCTGGAATTCAAGGTGTGCACTACCATGCCCAGCTTTCTCACTCTCTCTTACTCTTTCCCTCCCTGCCTCATTCTCTTTCTTTTGCTCTTTCTGTTAAAGAATCAGGGTCTCATGTCACCTAGTGGGCCTTGAACTCCTGATCCTCCCATGTACAGGGGTATAACAGTTATGTCACCATACCCAACTGAAAATTTTTCTTTATTAATTCTTTGGGCATTTCATATCATGCACTCCAATCCCACCCAACTCCCATTCTGTTCCCTTCACCTTCATAGCAACCCCTCAAAGGAAAATTTGAAAAGAAATAAAAATAAAAACATAAAATATTAATTAAAAATTAAATAAAGAAAACAACATGAAAGCAAGACAGCAACAACAAAAACAACAGAGCAAAAGGAAAAACAAACACTTCACTTCCCTGTCTTTCCTGTCCTCCATCAAGTCTTCATTTGTTTTAGTGGCATTGGGAGCTGCAGCAGGACGTTGAGTAGACCCTCTCATCCAAACAGCTTTACTTCAAATCTTCACTGTATGAGTGGTCAGGTGCCGCGCTCTGGCCAGTATCAGTCCTATTCTGTAAGGCTGCAAGAGCCGTCTATCCTGGACTGATTGATGTCTTTGGGGCTGTGTTTGGAGCCAGCTGAAGAGCCCCAGGTCTGACCCTGAGTGGGAGAGTGTGGATCATGGAAGTCCTAGCTACCCAACTGTGTTAAGAATGATACAGAGACATGTTGTCATCTCAGGAGGGCTCTCAGTCCATACTGGAGACACCGGTTTATTCAAGCATCCTCTTAAATAGCTTTTTATAAGCAGGGGTACTAGGGAGATGACATCTATTATCATGTATACAGGACTGACTAGGAAACACTTCCTTTAACCTTAGAGCCAGTCCTAGAAAGCATGTACACAAACCCTCAGACCTCCCATAACACCTGTCTCACTGGCCCCAGGCACATCCCACTAGCCCCCATGACTGGTGCAAGGCCTAGGTCTATTGTTACGCATACTAGACGTTATTCTCCACTGTGGCCAGGCCATCCAGAGGCAACCAGCCAACATCTCAAAGACAATAGGAGATTTGAGCTCCTGGAATTGAGCTGAGGCCTATATTGTAATATCATATTCTGGCTCCAACAGTCAAGCTTCTAGTACACCATTAATGCTGGACCCTCACTGAAACTCCTCTGGGTTATTGTGCTGCTAGCTTGACTCATAGGCCTTTGTCTCTATAGGATCAGTCCCTCCATGTGCTCCAACAGGTCACAGATGGGGTAGATGTTGGGTTGGGACAACTCAAAGCTCTGGATGGGTGCCTGTGTGGTAGCTAAGCTGGTCAGGGCAGATGTGCCACCATAACCAGCTTTTATGAACATGTTTTCAAAGCAATATGGGTTATTGGTTCTCCTAACTTCCTGAAATGGTAGTTCAGCTTATTTTTTCCAGTCGTGGAATTAAACTAATGATCAGATCCCATGTCTGCCTCTCACTAACTGTGACCCCCTTGGTCTTTTGTTTAAGCTTTTAAACCTTATCAAAAAAGGTGAAATTATATTAGAATCGCCTTAGTCTCATACTGTGAAGACTGAAATGAGGTTCTTACTGAAATGTGTAGCAGGGAGAGCAAGGTTAGGAATGTGAATCACATTGTCAGAACAGTGAAAATCACTTGCTGATGAGGCAGGAAGTAAATGATGAAAGGGAATTGTTCACACAGTCATAGATGTAATATTTGCTCTGTCATTGGTTCTCAAGCTTGAGTGAACCTGTCCATCACCTGGGCTGCCTGTTCATGATATGGACTCCTTGCACTGACGCCCAGATATTTCCACTCAATGTCTAGAAGACTGCCAGGGATTTTCATTGTCAGTAACACTTGAGTGGACCGTGGACTACTGACATCACACGTGTTAGAAGTCCTGATGCTTTAAATAAAAGCTTTAGCTTGGTTTCCTAGCAGGTGCATAATACAAGTGAGATAAGGTGTTTTTTAAGGAAAATTCAAGCTGAAATGGGAACTAAGACTATAACTTCAGGAATAAAATATTTTGTTGAGAGTTTCAAGGTTCCTCTGTCCAGTGACTTATGGTTTTTCCCTCTTTAAACTTAGGATGTCTATGAGGGGACGGACAATCATCTTCTCCATTAAGCAGCCCCCATACTCCATCTTCAAATGTTTTGATAGTCTTACCTTAGTGGCCTCAGGAAAAGTCATGTTTCATGGCCCTGCACAGGAAGCCTTGGAGTACTTCACATCTGCAGGTACGGCTGCCTTTTGCTGTGAGAGCTCCTTCATTCATGGGGTCAGTGGTTCTCAGGAATGCAGCTTGACTCTGGTGCAGACATGCATTGTGTATTTTCTCCATTTTGAGACCTTTGGTTAATGTGGTGACAGGATTCTGTTAGCTGTGAGACACGGCCTTGTTGTTCAGGTCTCTCTTCTTTCTCCTGTCCTGTGTCACCTGTGTCACAGTATTTTACTGAGCCATTTGTTCTGCTTCCTGGTCAGGTGACCCTCTTGGTTAACATGCCGGCGCCAGGCACAGTTATCCCTCATGGGACAGCTTTGGAAAGGCCCAGTGTCATCATGTTCTTGCTCACTTAGCAGATGGTGGTTTTCAGTTTTCTCTTAGTGTGATCTGACTGAGGAGATGCAGATTTCAATTAACTTAGTTGTAACCTTAAATTTCAGGGTTAGACAATGTTGGCAGCTATAGCAGCTTAAGTTTGGTTTCCGAGGACTCCAGTTTTTCATCTGCCTGGATGTTCAGAGTCAGATTCAATGAAACATGTCCTTTAGTGTTTCAGGCTGTCAGTTTCATCTTAGTGAAATGTGAATGTATTTATGGATGATTCTCTTGACTCTAAATATATATTTAAATATTTGCTGTCTGACATTTTTCATTTGTTTTTGATTGATCTTTGCCATTTAAAATTATATAAATTTTTGTAGTTTTTTGGAGTCCTATAAAAATATAGGCCACATTCAAATTCTTTCATAGGAAGAGTTCACATATGTATGTATAACATACACATAAACATACATATATATTTATAAATGGGTATAGACATATATTACCTGTTTGTTTATTAGGCAGGGAAGCAGATATCTTTGAAATAGTATGAGTGTATATGTAATAGGAAAGGATAACTTAGTGAGGGGAGGGACAAGAGGAGGAAGAAATTCTTAGATTCTGTCTCCCCTCCCCTTTCCCATGCTCTGAAAGAGAGTCCTCAGGTTTGTGTTCATGACCTACCTTCTTTCTAGGCTACAACTATGATCCCCACAACAACCCTGCAGACTTCTTCCTGGACATCATTACTGGAGGTTTCTCTGCTATATTAGACACAGAGGAAGATGATCATGAAGGTACGTGAGTTCTAGAGTCAGATGTTTACCTAACTGATTTCATTAAAACACAACTGTGGTTCATTAGAATAGAGCTTTTTATGTTACTTTGGTGTCCTCAAATTAGATAATAGCCATTGCTGTCTGTGCTTTGTGCTTTTTATTTAACATGCAAATGTAAAAGTGCATGTGTTCATTGTTTGCCTATTATTCTTTGTATTACTTTAGATAGTTTGCTGATTTTAGCCAGACTGACCTTGAATGGGTTTCCCTTTTCACTCACATCCCAAGTATAGGTATTACAGGGGTAAATTAGCTAATTTTATATCAATTAGCCACAAGTTGAAGTCCTGAGATGAGGGAACCTCTGTTAAGGTAATGCTTCCATGAAATTGGGCTGTAGAAAAGCCTGTAGGGCATTTTCTTAGTGATTGATGGAGAAGGGCCCAGCCCATTGTGTGTAGAGCTGTCCCTGAGATGGTCATCTGACTTCTATAAGAAAACAGAAAGATCGGGCCACGGGGAGCAAGTCATATAGGCAACACCCTCCATGGCTCTGCATCGGCTCCTGCCTCCAGGATCCTGTGTGACTTCCTGTTCTGGCTCCCTTCAGTGATGCAGCACCACGTGGAAGTGAAAGTGAGATACCCTGCATCATCCCAACTTGCTTTAGTTCATGTGGTCCAGGACAGCAATAGAAGACCTAACTAACACACAGGGCTGTGTCACCCTGCCTGCCTTTGTCTATAACATCTTAAAAACAAGACACTTGGCAGTTTATGCATTTGCATATACATATGAATATACATTCAGTTGAAACAGAAAGGAGGGACCAGACTTTAATGTTAAGAAGCATACATCCATCAGGGAAGGAGGACTTTTTTAAGAATCAGGGATGGGAAAAGGCCATTCAGTTAGCTGTGTCCATGGGATAATGACAGTAGTCAAGTCAATTAGTGACACTTTCCTAATCTGTAAGGGAATTACACAGGAGCAATTTTATTATGCTAAATGCAGTGGGCTAAAGATGTAATTCAGCTGGTGGAATGCTTGCCTAGCTCACACAAAACCTTCAGTTTGGTTCCTTGCACTGCATAACTGTGAAAGTGCATGCCTATAATCTCAGGGTTTGAGACAGAAACAGGTGTAGGAGACTGTCTCAGAGAAAAACTGATACATAATTTATGTTATTCACAAAAAAAGTGTCTCAGAGAAATGAGCTAAATCACTGTTTCTTGTCTTTATCCACTTTTATCCTAAAGCTGACAAATATAAGGAACTTTGTGAGAGAACATACCAAGTCACAAAAAAATTAACCAATATGTTTGCCCAGTCATCTTTATACAACAAAATGAGAAGTGAACTGGATCCGCTCTTGGGGGAACAGAAGGCAGGGAGGAGCCCAGCCTTGGAGGAGATCACATGTGCCACCCCTTTCTGGCATCAGCTCTGGTGGATCATCTCTCGTTCATTCAAAAATTTCCTCGGCTTTTCGTGGGTCACTATGATTCAGGTAATCTGATGAGTTATTTCAATTACATTGTGGAAAACTCCAGTGGGAGCAATTTGACTCTGAGTGAGTCTACTTCAGGGTCACACTTAGCTTCTACTCCCATGTGTTTGTCCTCTCCTCACTACTTGGCATATAAAATGTTCAATAAAGCAAGCAGAACACAATTTACTTTTTACTTTCAGAAAATGTTTTTAGTGATAGATTTTATTTAGAGGAACTATAGTGTCTAATTCCAGTAGGAAATTTAATTCAGAGAGTACAAATGATAACTCAGTACACCTGGTATTTCCTCACATCTGTCTACTTTAATTCACCTGGGCATCCTACAAGTTCAATTTCAGGGCTGAGTAAAGGAGAAAAAGGCTTTTTTTCCTGGTGCAACGTTTCCTGTGGGTAGATGGATGATAACAGGATAAATAGATGAAATTGTAGTGTGTCAGATGGGAGAATGGACTTGGAGAAAGTTAAAGTAGAGAAGGGGTTGAGATGACTGGAGAGGGGAAGGAGAGTGGAGTTGAAATTGTGAGGTGAGGAAACAGTCATTAAACAACTCTAAGGGAGCCTTTGCATCCACTTTTGAATCACTTGAAGTAGAAAACTGCTCGCTGGCACCAGAATTGAGATTCAATTTAAGTAAATGCTTTTTGTCACTTATGTTGGTATGTCCCCTAACCCCCCAAGTGCCTGCATTCTTTTCCCCCTGTGGCATCCTTGTTTCGGTACCTGACCTGAGCCCTTCACTACCCCTTCTTGGTGGAGCACTGGGAGAAATGGGTCCTGTCAGTGCCTCCAATTGCAGAGACCTTAATTTTCAGTTTAATATCCAAGCTGTGTAAAATAATTTCTACTCCTAATGGAAATTTATTTTTCTTTTTTTCCCCTGTATTGTTTTGAAAGGCCATTGTCGAAGTCATGGTGGCTATATTTGTGGGTACCACTTTCAATTTCCTACAAAATAATTGTTATGAAGCCCAGAGGAGGTAAGCACAGGAGAAAATGCTGTTACTGTGTTCAAACTTATATAAATCCATTAAGAATTAGAGTTGTGACAAGAACAGAGTAAACATTTCATCATGTGATAGAATGTGTTGGTACATTGAAGCCTGAGTGGAAGAACTCACTTTTTCATATATGTTTCTGTGTAGACTATGAATCTATACACACTACACATTTAACATTTCCCAGTTTTAGTGTATGGAGCAGCTTCTGTTATGGGAACATCACCATACTCTAAATGTTGGGTATTTCTTCATCTTCCTGAATAAAACCCCATGTATCTGAAAGAAGAATCCCCAAACTATCCACTCCTGAGTCCAGGCATCAATCATTCTACTTTCTGTCATTGAATATGACTAATGTAGGATCCCTGAATTGGAGTCACACAAGTATCTGTGTTTTGGTTTTGTCTTGGTGTTGTTCTTGTTTGTTTTGTCTTGCTTCTTTTCCATTGGTGTAATGTCCTCAGGGCCCATCAAAGTGTGACATATGAGGGGATTTCTTTGGATTTCTGTAAGGCAAAATAATTGCCCATTGTATGTATTTGCTGTGTTGCTTCCCATTCATCTGTGACTGGTTTACTTTCATGTTGGGCTGCTATGAACCATGCTGTTGAGTGAGCAAGCACATCTGTTTGAGCCCTGGATTTTACTATTTAAGGTAGAAAGTTAGAGTTGACAAATCATAGGCCACTGTGTTAATTTGAGGAACTGCTGTCCTGTCTCCAACTCCATTGTAATATGTGTATCCTCACCAGCAGGACACAGGGGCTCCAGTATGTCCACATCCTTACCCAATCTTACGTTCTTACTTGTTTGGAGTAAGATGTCTAAGAAACAAATTGTGAGCCACTGAATGCTTTATAAGGTGTATGCAGAACCCATTTTCCCCTTGTTAAATAGGCATGATTATTTACACTCCAAAATTATTTATTTCTTTTTCATATTTTTTAATTTAAATTACAACCAAGCTTATTTTACATGTGAATCCCAGTTCCGTCTCCCTCCCCTCCTCCCTTGCCTGCCACTAACCCCCATCCCATCTCCTTTCTGTTCCCCAGGATGGGTGAGGCCTTCAATGGGGAAATCTTCAAAGTCTGTCATATCATTTGGAGCAGGGCCTCAGCTCTTCCTCCTGTCTAGGCTGAGAGAGTACCCCTCTATTTGGAAAGAGCTCCCAAAGTCCATTTGTATGCTAGGCATAAATACTGATCCACTACCAGAGGCCCCATATATTGCCCAGGTCTCCTCACTGACACCTACATCAGGGAGTCTGTATCAGTCCTATGCTGGTTTCCCAGCCATCAGTCTGGGGTCCATGAGCTCCCCCTTGTTCAAGTCAGCTGTTTCTGTGGGTATCACTAGCCTGGTCTTGACCCCTTTGCTCATCACTCCTCCCTCTCTGCAACTGGATTCAAGGAGTTCAGATCACTGTTTAACTGTGGGAGTCTGCTTCTACTTCCAACAGCTACTGGATGAAGGCTCTCGGATGGCAGATAAGGGAGTCATCAGCTCATTAGAGGGGAAGGGCATTTAAGGTAGCCTCTCCACTATTACTGATATTGATAATTACTGTCATCCTTGTAGATGTCTGGACAGTTCCCTAGTGCCTGATTTCTCTTTAAACCTATAATGTTTCCCTCTATCATGGTATCTCTTATCTTGGTCTCCTCTATTCCCCCGACTCAATCTTCCTGCTCCCTCATGTCCTCCTCTCCCCTCCTCTTTCTTTCTCCTAACTCCCTCTTCCCTCCCCCCATGCTCCCAAATTGTTCAGGAGTTCTTATCCCTTTCCCCTTCTCCAAGGGACCATTTATGTCTCTGTTAGGGCCCTGCGTGTTTCCTAGCTCCTCTGGCAGTGTTCTCTGTCTAAAATTCATTTATGATTGAGTAAATATCATGTTTGTCTTTCTGTAACTGGGTTATGTCATTCAGGATGGTTTCTTCTAGTTCCATCCATTTGCCTTCGAATTTCAAGATCCATTGTTTTTTTTTCCACTGATTCGTACTCCATTGTGTAATTGAACCACATTTTCTCTATCCATTCTTCAGTTGAGGGGCATCTAGGTTGCTTCCAGGTTCTCGCTATTACAAATAATGCTGCTATAAACATAGCTGAACGGATGTCCTTGTTATATGAATGTGCATCCTTTGGGTATATGCCAAAGAGTGGAATTGCTGGATCTTGTACACTGTTTCCCATTTTCCTGAGGAATCTCCATAGTGATTTCCAAAGTGGCTGTATGAGTGGGCCCTCCCACAAGCAGTGTAGGAGTTTTCCCCTTTATCCACATCCTCTCCAACATAGACTGTCATTGGTGTTTTGGATTTTAGCCATTCTGACAGAAGTGAGAAGGTATTGCAGAGTTGCTTTGATTTGCATTTCCTGATGGCTAAGGATGTTGAGTGCTTTCCTTAGTGTCCATCAGTCATTTTAGATTCCTCTATTAAGGAGTGTCTATTTACTTCTGTATCCTACTTTTTAATTGATTTATTGATGTTTGGTGACTAGCTTCTTAAGTTCTTTTTAAATTTTGGAGATCAGCCCTCTGTCACATTTGGGCTTGGTGAATATCTTTTTTCCATTCTGTGAGCTGTCATTTTGTTTTGTTGACTGTGTCTTTTGCCTTACAGAAGCTTCTCAGTTTCAGGAGGTCCCATTTACTAATTGTTAATCTTATTCTCTGTGCTAATGTGGTTTTGTGAAGGAAGCAGTCTCCAGTACCAATTCGTTCAAGGGTACATCCCACTTACTGTTCTAAGAGATTCAGTGTGGCAGGATTTATGCAGTCTTCTATGTGCCAGCATCCAGTTATGCCAGTACTATTTGTTGAAGGTCTTTAGCTTTTTTGTCAAAAATCAAGTGTTCATAGGTGTTTGGGTTATATCAGGGTTTTCAATTTAATTCCGTTGTTCTACCTGCCTATTTTTGTGCCAATGCCAATCATTTTCAGGACTATAATAGAAAGAGCTTGAAGTCATGAATGGTGATGCTTCTAGAAGTTCCTTTATTGTACAGGGTTGTTTTGGCTATCCTGTTTTTTTTTCTTCCATATAAAGTTGAGTGTTGTTCTTTCAAGGTCTGTAAGAAATTGTGTTGGGATTTTGATGGGGATTGGATTGAATCTGTAGATTGCCTTTTGCTATGTTGATCCTACCTATACAAGAACATGGGAGATCTTTCCATTTTCTGGTATCTTTTTTAATTTCTTTCTGTAAAGATTCAAAGTTCTTGCTGTACAGGTCTTTCACTTGTTTGGTTAGACTTAACCCAAGATATTTTATGTTGTTTGTGGCTTTGTAAAGGGTGATGTTTCTATGATTTCTTTCTCATTCTATTTATCATCTGTATGTTGTAGGGCTACTGATTTTTTTAGTTAATCTTGCATCCTCCCACTTTACTGAAAGTGTCTATTAGCTGTAGGAGTTCCTTTGTAGAGTTTTTCAGGTCACTTATGTAAACTATCATATCATCTGCAAATAGTGAAAATTTGACTTCTTCCTTTCCAATTTGTAACCACTTGATCTTCTTTTGTTGTCTTATTGCTCTAGCTACAAGTTCAAGTATAATATTGAAGAGATATGGAGAGAGTGGACAGCCTTGTCTTGTTCTTGATTTTAGAGGAATCACGCTGAGTTTCTCTCCATTTAGTTTGATGTTAGCTGTTGGTTTACTGTATTTTGCATTTTTTATGTTTAGGTATGTTCCTGTTATCCCTGATCTCTCCAAGACCTTTATCATGAAGGGGTGTTGGATTTTGTCAAATGTCCTTTCAGCATCTAATGAGATGATCATGTGGTTTTTCCTTTGCAGTTTGTTTATATGGTGGATTACATTGATAGATGTTCATATGTATCTCTGAGATGAAGTCTACTTAATCATGGTGGGTGAATTTTCTGATGTATTCTTGGAATCAATTTGCCAGTATTTTATTGAGTATTTTTATGTCAATGTTCATGTGGGAAATTGGTCTGTAGTTCTCTTTCTTAGTTGTGTCTTGTTGTGGCTTGGGTACCAAGGTAATTATAGCTTCATAAAAAGATTTTGGCAGTGACCCTTCTGCTTCTACTGTGTGGAACAATTTGAGTAGTATTAGTATTAGTTCTTCTTTGAATTCCTGGTACCATTCAGCACTGAAGTCATTTGGCCCTGGCCTTTTTTTGGTTGGGAGACTTTTGATGACTGCTTCTATTTCCTTAAGTGTTATAGGACTATTTAAATTGCTTATCTCTTCTTGATTTAACTTTGGTAAGTGATATCTGTCAAGAAAATTTTCCATTTTCTCTAAATTTTTGAATTTTTGTGGAGTACATGTTTTCAAAGTGTGACCTGAAGATTCTCTGGGTTTCCTCTGTTTCTGTTGTTATGTTCTCCTTTTCGTTTCTGATTTTGTTAATTTGCATGTTCTCTCTCTGCCTTTTGGTTAATTTGGATAAAGGTTTGTCTATCTTGTTGATTTTCTCAAAGAACCAACTCTTTGTTACATTGATTCTTTGTATTGTTTTATTTGTTTCTGCTTTATTGATTTCTACCCTCAATTTGAGTTTTTCTTGGAGTCTACTCCTCCATGGTGAGCTTTTGTTTTTTCTTTTTGTTCTAGAGCTTTCAGTTGTGCTGTTAATTCTCTTTTGGGACTACTCTTTAGTTTCTTCATGTGGGCACTTAGTGCTATGAATTTTCCTCTTAGTATTGCTTTTAGTATGTCCCATACGTTTGGGTATGTTGTGTCTTCATTGACATTGAATTCTAGGAAGTCTTTAATTTCTTTCTTTCTTGACTTAGTAATGGTGAAATTTCACATTATTCAATTTCTATGAGTTTGTAGGGTTTCTGCATTTGTGTTGTTGTTGAATTCTAATTTTAAAGCATGGTGGTCTGATAAGATACAAGGGGCTAATCCAATTTTTTGTACCTGTTGAGGTCTTCTATGTTGACGAGTATGTAGTTGATTTTAGAGAAGGTCCTATGTGGTGTTGAGAAGAAGGTATATTCTTTTGTGTTTAGATAGATGTCTGTTTGTGTCCATAGATGTCTGTTAAACCCAGTTGGGTCATAACTTCTGTTAGTTCCTTTGTTTCTTTGTTAAGTTTCTCTCTGGTGATCCTGCCTAGTGACAAGAATGGGGTGTTGAAGTCTCCCACCATAACTGTGTAAGGTCTTATGTGTGATTTGAGTTTTAGTGATGTTTCTTTTATGAATGTGAATGCCTTTGCATTTGTGGCATAGATGTTCAGAATTGAAATTTCATTCTGATGGATTTTTCCTGTAATGAATATGAAATGCCCTTCTTCATCTTTTTTGATTGGTTTTAGTTTGAAGTCTAACTTGCTAGATATTAACATAGCTACTACACAAGATTTTTTCTTTGATTGGAAAATCTTATCCCAGCCCTTTAATCTGAGGTAATATCTATCTTTGAAGTTGAAGTGTGTTTCTTCTATGCAGCAGAAGGATGATTCTGTCTTTGCATCCATTCTGCTAGCCTATGTCTTTTTATAGGCAAATTAAGGCCATTAATATTGAGGGAAATTGAGGACTATTGAGTGTTAATTCTTGTTTGTTTTGGATTTGGTGATGGTGGTGATATTGTGTGTGGATTTACTCTGCTTTTTCTTTTGGCATTTGGTAAAGTTGGATCATCTATTTCTTCTGTTTTTGTGAGTGTAGTTAACTTCCTTAGACTGGAGTTTTCCTTCCTGTACTTTCTGTAGGGCTGGATTAGTGGATATGTATTGTTTAAATCTGGTTTTTCCATCTACAGTGGCTGACAGCTTTGCTGTCTATAGTAGCGTAGGCTGTCATCTGGGCTGGAATCTGTAGTCTCTTATTGTTTGTAGAACATCTATCTAGGACCTTCTGGCTTTCAGAGTTTCCATTAAGAAGTAAGGTGTAATTCTGATAGGTTTACCTTTATATGTTACTTATCCTTTTTCCTTTTCTGCTCTTAATATTCTTTCTTTATTATGTATGCTTGGTGTTTTGATTATGTCACAAGGGGAGGTTTTTTGTGGTCCATTCTTTTAGTGTTCTGTAGACTTCTTGTACTTTCATTGGCATGTCTTTCTTTAGGTTGGGAAAGTTTTTTTCTATGATTTTGTTGAATATGTTTTCTGTACCTTTGAGTTGGTTTTCTTCACCTTCTTCTAAACCTATTATTCTTTTTTTAATTTTTATTTTTTAAATTTAAATTTAATCAGAAACAAGGTTGTTTCACATGTCAATCCCAGGTCCCTCTCCCTTTCTCTCCTCTCCTCCCATACCCTCCCACCAACCCCTCCAATATACCCTCATTTCCCCAGGGAGGGTGAGGCCCTCCATGTGGGTGTCCATAGTCTGTCATTTTATCCAGGGCAGGGCCTAGGCCCTCCCCTGACAGTCCAGGGTGAGAGTGCATCTCTCATTGTTGGATGGGTACCCAAAATCTATTTGTATGCCGGGGATAAATACTGATCTACTACCCAAGGCCTAATAGATTGCCTAGGCCTCCTCACTGACACCCTCATTCAGGGAGTCTTGATCAGTCCCATGCTGGATTCCCAGGCATCAGTCTGGGATTCAAGAGCTAACCCTTGTCAAGTCAGCTGTTTCTGGGGGTTAAACCAGCCCAGTCTTAACCCCTTTGGTCATCAGTCCTCCCGCTCTGTCACTGGATTCCTTGAGTTCAGCTCAGTGTTTAGCTGTGGGAGTCTGCCTCTACTTCCATCAGCCGCTGAATGAAGGTTCTGTTTCCCAGAATCTCAGGCCATGGGATTGTAGGCTGGCACTCCCCAGACATAATCTAAATGTCTAAAATCCATATATGATAGAGTACATGCCATGTTTCTCTTTTTGTGCCTGGGTTACCTCACTCAGGATGGTTTCTTCTAGTGCCATCTATTTGCCTGCAAATTTTAGGATTCCATTGTTTTTTTTCTGCTGAATAGTACTCCATTGTGTAAATGTGCCACATTTTCTCTATCCACTCTTCGGTTGAGGGGCATCTAGGTTGCTTCCAAGTTCTGGCTATTACAAATAATGCTGCTATGAACATAGTGGAACAGACATCCTTGTTGTATAAATGGGCATCTTTTGGATACATGCCTAAGAGTAGAGTTGCTGGGTCTTGTGGTAGGTTTATTCCCATCTTTCTGAGGAATCTCCATACTGATTTCCAAAGTGGGTGTACGAGTTGGCACTCCCACCAGCAGTGGAGGAATGTTCCCCTTTCACCGCATCCTCTCCAGCATAAATGTCATTGGTGTTTTTGATTTTAGCCATTTTGACAGGAGTAAGATGGTATCTCAGAGTTGTTTTGATTTGCATTTCCCGGATGACTAAGGATGTTGAGCACTTTCTCAAGTGCCTTTCAGCCATTTTAGACTTCTCTATTGAGAATTCTCTATTTAGTTCTGTAGCCCACTTTTTAATTGGATCCTTTGGTGTTTTGGAGACTTGTTTCTTGAGTTCTTTGTAAATTTTGGATACCAGCCCTCTTTCAGATGTGGGGTTAGTGAATATCTTTTCCCATTCTGTGTGCTGCCTTTTTGTCTTGCTGACTGTGTCCTTTGCCTTACAGAAGCTTCTCAGTTTCAGGAGTTCCCATTTATTAATTGTTGACCACCTTCTTTAATTTTAAATACTTATTTTATTTTGTGAGTATGAGTGTTTGCCAAATGTATGCTAAGCCATCTCTCCAATACTGTTTTTTTCAATGTGTGTGTTTATTTTTTTAAAGAGTAGATTTGTGTTGCTGGGCAGTAGTGTTGCATGCTTTTCATCCCAGCGCTCAGAAGGCAGAGGCAGGCATATCTCTGTGTGTTCTAAGACAGCCTGGTCTATAAAGCTACACAGAGAAATGCTGTCTTGGAAAATAACAAAAAGCAAAACAAAAAGACTAGACCTGTGTAATCTTATTCAGTCTACAAAAGAAAATGTGTTACAAAAAACCATCCTAATGTTGAATTTATTGCACTTTTGCCTCCATTCTCTCCTGGCAGATTAAACCTGATCTTCTTGCTCACAGTCAATGAATGCATTATAAGCATGTCTGCCAGGGACCTCTTCATGACTGACAGGAATTGCTTTGTGTGAGTAGCCCCTGCCCTGGGAGCAGGCATCAGGTGCTAGTGATCAAGCTGATTATGTTCATAGTTGGGCCTAGCATGCTATCTCATGAACCATCAGTCATTCCCCCCTTTCTTACTTATTTAGTTGAAAATAAGCACATTGTGAATTTTTGTGTTTATCATATGATATCATGATTTCTGAAGTATGTAAAGAGATTACTGATATTAATGAAACCTGGATGGGAAATCAGGGGCAGAGGTGTCTGCTGCTCAGAGAAAGTTTCAAATTTGGGGTGTGATCAACAGATCTCAGTGCTGCAAACAACACAGCAGGAGGGGACTGAAAATCACAAGAAATTAGTGATGCCCAAAAGAAGTTGTAAGGGGTTGCATGGTGCTTCCATGTAGTGGGTTCAGCTGCACATTGGAGCTGGAGAGGTGCAGCTGTGTAATAATGAGAGAGTGCACAGCCTTGGGATGGAGGGGTGGAAAGAGCCAGACAGCAGCTGTGTAGAAAGACACAGGAAACTGTTTATCTCCTGTGTTTTTCACACATGGAAGAACCTGTGCCCAGTGGCCTGTGCTTAGGATTCACTGCTCACAAAGATTTGCCCCAAGTCCATGCCAAGGAGAGGAGTTATCAGAGAGGAGCTGAGGGCCTCACTCAGTTGGCAGAGTGTTTGCTTTGTGTGCATGAAACCTGTGTTAGATTCATGGTACCACAAAATCATGGGCATGGCCTTATGCAGATGGGGTACAGGCAAGAGAATAGTCATGAACTCACTGGGACAGGAAGAGCTTGGGATTCAGAAGGACCAGAAAGGGACAGGATTAGCTTTGGTCTCTGGTAAAGATTAGTGGTTGTAAAAGAGCCTATTGAAGGAATACATCTGTCCTAAAATGAGAGTAGCCAAAGAGAAGGATGTAGTGTCCTGAAGCTGCTCTGTGACCTCAGAGTGACAGTGTCGCTTCATAAGAACTGGAAGGACACAAGTCTCCATGACCACCGTCTGAGGTGAGGTATGAATGAGTTTCTCCTTAGGGAGCCAACTTCAGCGGGAGGGGGGGGCAGAATCTGAGGTGGGTGGGCTTACCGTTTCTCTGGAGGGGCTCTTGTGTGGCCAGAATGGACAAAAGAGGGGATAGTTCTCTGAAGGGGAGAACCAAAGTCATAAGGATAATGGCCTAAAGATGCTGTTCTCTAAGTTGGGGATCTGTATGGCAGTCAGCATGGAGTTGGGGACACTGTCCTGTTAGGCTCCCTGTGGTAACAGAAGTCAGTGTAACCAGCATCTTACCTATGTCTTCTGGACTAATCTAAGGATGTATAACATGATCTTTGTCTCTGTAGACATGAGCATTCCAGTGGATATTACAGAGTGCCATCATATTTCTTTGGGAAATTGCTGGGTGATCTGGTACCCAGAAGGTTATTGCCACTTCTATTCTATTATATTCACTTCTATACTATTCAGTATAGTAGGTAAGTGACAAAGCAAGAGAATGCATCTTTTCTTTTGGTGGAGCATGTTTTGGTTTGTATAACTGTGGGAAGCCTAAAGTAGAGAAGCATAAGTAGAAAAACAAATCTCTACCACGTGCCATCTAACACAAGTGTTTAGTGAGAAGAATGTCTCCAAGACTTGTTCACAAAATACTACAAATGCTGTTTGTGAAACTGATTTAATTAAGAGATTCTGTGTAGTATAATGAATGAACAAATAACATACACTTGAGACACTGCCAATGGAGCAAGTCAATTATTACATATCCATCCATATACATTTTTGTGCTTATTGGCTTGCTCCTAATAGTTACCTCAGACTGCTTTCTTATATATAGCACCCAGAACCACCTACCTAGGAACAGCATCATCCACAGTTGTCTAAGACTTCCCACATGAATTATCCATCAAGACAATGCTGGCACAATCTTGTATAAGGACCAATCTAATGGAGACATTTTTCTTAATTAAGTTGGCTCTTCCCCTAAGATCCTTGCTTGTGTTATATTGATAAAAAAAACTAACAGTACAGTCCAATTTCATTACTAATGCATTTATATAAACACAGGGAACATGGACATGTGCATGTTCTGCTACTAATTTCTCCTGTAAGAGAATGCAGTAAAATTTTAGCCAGTTGTGTCACCTGTAGCTCTCAATGCCAGGATCCCATAAAATAGTCATAATTATGTGTAGATGAGAACAGGTCATATAAGGAAAGGAAATTTTGTGGCAAGTATAAAAATAAAGCTATATGATGGTGCTGGAGAAAGGTTCACTGGTTAGAAGCATGTGCTGCAACTTTAAAGTCCCCAAATTTGGTTCCCAGCATCCACATGATCATGTAGCAGATGCAGGCCCAGAGAAGTTGAGTGGCTGTGAAGCTGTTACTCGTCTTGTTGGTTATTAAAGTATTATCTGAAATATGTACAATTCCCTTGACTTAGGTAGAGGAACTGACCCCATTTTTATCTTTCTAAGGAATAATAACAGATGCGAATGGTTTCTTCACGATGTTATTTACCATCATGATGTTGGCTTATTCTTCCAATTCCCTGCTGATCTCCTTAGGAGCAGGGAAGAATGCAGTGGCTGTACCAAGACTGCTTGTGACATTCTACTTTGTGTCCATGCTGGTGAGTGTGAATTGTGTTTTTCCGAAAAGAAAAATTTCATTGTGTTCCTTCTTTAACATGTACATGCTTGATACATCAGGACTTGGAACATGAGGCCTTATGCTACTGCTTATTATGGTCTGGAGAGAAGGAGCCGCCTTTCCTCCCAGGCTTCGTGGCTACTGTTCTGATGTCAGTGCTATGATGTTGTTAGCATGCCCTTTCTAGTGAGCTCTTAACAAGTATTTCTTGGGATCGTATTACAAATCCATAATAAATTGGAACTTCATGAAAGTGGTACTATTGGCCTATTCCCCCACAACAAGACAGATTTCTGCCTTCTTTCATGCTGGTATTTTAACCATAGCAGAGATGATGTGGTTTATTTAATGATCTCTATTGAGAAAGCAAAGATCATGATCTGTAGTTGTTTGTTTTCACTCTTTGTTCTTTGCTCTTTTGGGGCCCACCAGCCAGATCCCAAATAAATAGCACATGGAGGCTTATTATTACTTATGAATGCCTAGCTTTAACTTGGCTTGTTTCTGGCCAGTTTTTCTTAAACTATCCCCATTTACCTTTTGTCTCTGGGCTTTTTCCTTTTCTTACTTCTATACATTTTACTTTCAAAACTCTCATTTCGTGACTGGTTGTGTGGTTGTTTGACTGGATGGCTGGCCCTTACAGTCCTCCTCTTCTCCTTTTTTGGTTCCTCTGTCCTCTCCGATTTCTCCTCCCATTTATTCTCTCTGCCTGCCAGCCTACCAATTCTTTCCTACCAAACTATTGGCCATTCATCTTTGTCTGACCAATCAGGTGTTTTAGACAGGCAAAGTATCATGGCTTCACAGAGTTAAACAAAGGCCACATAAAAGAATGCAACACATCATTAAACAAATGTTCCATAGTATAAAAGTGTAACACATCTTAAAATAATATTCTACAACAGTGATCAGTATAAGTGTTCAGCATGAGGAGTCTATCTCAGGGATCACTTGTGTTCTGGAAATGTTAGAAATAGTGGAAGATTCCAGACTCCTAAGTACTAATCAGGCTCCTGAATTACCATACTCCTGGTCAACTTTCTGTAATTGGTTACCCACTCTTAGTCTTTCAGGCCCATAAATTACACACTAAATGGAAATGAATAAACCAATAAATGGAATCAGCTCCCACATTTCTCCCCCCAAAAACATTAAGTAAATAGAATGATTGATTTAGTGTTTTAATATTCATGTCCTTTCTGTTAGTGCAAGCGCTTGGCAGTGGCAGATGCATGTCCTTGAAAAAGTACTAACTTTTGTTTGTATTTCTTATTTAAATGGCCACATATGTATGGCCATCCAGTAATGGAAATCTTCAATAAACAGGCGATTAATTAATTTTATTTGAGAGATTCTTAAAAGCACATAAAGTGTTTTGATGATGTCCATGCCACTCCCACCTCCCCCTAATCCTTCCCTGTGGAATTTTAAATGACAAATGTCCCCTAAGGCTCAGGGACTTGGTTTGAGGTGGTAGTGCTGTTGGAGGGGTTCTGGTACTATTGGGAGGTAGGGACTTGATGAGAAAAGTCTTCCTCTAGACAGGAAGAGGGCTTGTGTATTTATAGTTGTAGGAGTATATAGCATCGAATATCGTTATATATAGTCTTGTCCCTCTTCCTATTCCCTCTTTGCTTTGCACTGTCCTGTGAAGATGTGAGCATTCAGCTTCCTCTTCCACTTCCTTGCCTGCTGCCTGTTGTCATATCTCCTCGCCAAGAAGGTTCTTATCACACTGGAAACCTAAGGCAAAGGAACTCTCTGTTCCAAAAGTTACCTTGATTGTGATGTTGTATCAGAGCAATAGGAAAGTCACTGCTGCATTTCTGATCTCTCTCACCACTCTCCCCTCCCTGTCTCTTTCTTTGTTTTCCTCCTTGTAAACCCCTGGGTCTACTTAGCCTTGCCCATATGTGCCTGTGTGTAGGGCCACCTACAGGAGCATGGAGAAGCTCACATAGGCCACATTCTTAAAGAAAAATAGCTCCACCCTCCCAACAGTCATCAACTGTAGTGGCACCTTGCTTTGCCAATGTACTTGCTGTGATGGCCACACCCTATGAGTGTGGCTTCAGGTGTGCAGATGCAACCCCTTTTGAGGCAGAGGAGGGCCTAGCTTGCTCTCTTGGGTTTCAGTGAGAGCATCAGAAGGGCAGAGAATGCATCTTCAGGAGCAGGAAGACCTCAGCCATTATTTATTAGTATTTGTATAAGTGCTTCCCTAATAAATACCTGTTTATCATTTATCTTCGGTCTTGTGGATTCATTGAAACCCTGCATTCAGTCAACTGCCAATAATTCCCCAGACAGGAGTAGAACTTCATGTCTGCCTCTCCTTCCATGCTGTGATTTTGTCTAAATTGATTTTGCACAGGGTTTGCCCATGTTGTCACAACTTCTCAGCATTCATATGTCACTGTCCAATTGTGACAGAAAAATACCATCTTGTCGTAGTCAACCACTGCCTCTGACTCTTACAGTTTCTCTAGCCTCTCTTTCATGATTCTTGATCCTTGGGAGGAGTGGAGTGATATACAGATCTTCTGTAGTCTCTTATCTCTCTGTTGACCTGTGGTGGGCCTGGGTTAATCACCATCTTCTACAAAAGGAAGCCTCTCTGAGATGGACTTATATATGGGTGTCAGAACAACTCATTAGAATTCGGTTTAATATCATATCCATTTAGAAGAATAACAGTAAGTAGATTCTCCTCTGGGACCTATGACCCCACTAACCACAACAAGATTTCCATCTTGTAAGCAGGGCCTAAATACAATCATGAAATGAATGGTCAGTCACTGCCATTGTAGTTGTCTGTCCAGTATCCCCCATATATTTCCTTCCACCCAAGAAAAAGAAAAAGAAAAGCAGAAAATAGTCAAGTGGGCTGGTCACTGACCTTGAGCATGTTTTCATATCTCCTAGAACCCCTCTCAAACATTTCAGCATTTCTAGATCACTGCCCATAGTGACAGCACCCAATCAAAATGTAAGTCACCACACACAAGAGACAAAGAAAGCTGATAGAAAGTTCTGCCCCATTGTATTAAAGACTGGACTTAGAGTATTCTGCAAAGCCTCCTGGCGTGGGATGTAGACTAGTATCTGTAAAGGAAGCCTTGTTGTTCTTGTTCATAGAACTAAAAACCTCTAACATTCTTGGATGCTCCTGTTAGAGTATAATGATGGTGTTTTCACCCCCCACATACTTTGGAATATAGAAGCCTTTTAGGTATTTGGACAAAATTTCACAAACACCAAAGAACCAAATGAACAAGCTAAAAGAAGACTTTAATATACACCTATAGGGATGCAACACCTCCTCAGATAGAGGCTTCCTCCCCTTCCCATGCTGACGCTAGTACGATGAAGACTATTTTAGAGTAACTCATAATTAAATAAATTTGTTTAAGATTAAAGTCACTCTCAGAAGGGCTGGGGGCCCTTCTCCACATGAATGTTACATGTCTCCTATTTTAGGGAGTCCACAGGCCTTCCCACCAGGGGAACAAAAATTCATTTCCCATCCATTGTGTTGTGGCTCTCTCCTTCACATTGCTTCCTCTTAGGCTACAAAGTTTTCAATCAAACTCCTCTGCTAAAATTCCCAGTTCCTGGTTTCCTGCTTGGGGACCACATACTTCTAAAAAGCCAAAAAGCAAAACACAACAAAAAACAAATTGAAACAGACTTGGCAATCCCCTTTCCTGTGATGTTAACTGAGATCAAGTTCAGGAGGTCAAAGAGCTGGGGCACGTTACACCCAAGAGAAAGGCTGATGACATCATTGCCCAGGGGAGCTGGGTAATCTCAACACAAGGAGAACCTTCAAAATTAAGATGGAAAAGTCTTGCTTATTATTTTAAAGATGATATTTAAAATTTGTTAATATAACTAAAACAACTTTTCTTTTCTTGTAATGTTTTTATTTAAATTAGAAACATGAATGCTTCACATGTCAATCCCAGCTCCCTCTCCCACCTCTCCTCCCTTGTCCATCCACCAGCTCCCCTAGCCCCCAACCCAAATACCACATCATTCCCCAAGGAGGGTGATGCCCTCCTTGGGGGAAATCTCTAAAGTCTGTCATTTCATCCTGGGCAGGACCTAGGCCCTTCCCAATGTGTCCAGGCTGAGAGAGCATCCCTCTATTTAGAATGGGCTCCCAAAGATCATTCATAAACCATGGTAAACACTGATCTACTACCCAAGGCCCCAGTGATTTCTGTGTCCTCCTCACTGAGACTACATTCATGGAGTCTGGATCAGTCCCCTGTTGGCCTCTCAGGCATCAATCTGGGATTCAAGAGCTCCCCCTTATCTGGTCAGCTGTCTTTGTGGGTTTCACCCTCATGGTTTTGACCCCGTTGCTTGTCATTCCTCCATCTCTGTCACTAGGTTCCAGGAGTTCAGTTCAGTGTTTAGTTGTGGGTATCTGTCTCTGCTTCCATCAGTCACTAGATGAAGGTTCTAGGATGGCATATAAGGTAGTCATTAACCTTACCATCAAGGAGAGGAATTTAATGTAGTCTCTCCACTTCTCCCCTCCTCTTATCCCCCTCTCTTTTTCCTGGCTTCCTCTCCCCTACCCCGATGTTCCCAATCTTCTCAAGAGATCCTGCCTCATTCTACTTCTCTGGGGTATCATGCATCTCTCTTGGGATCCTCCCTGTTTCCCAGCCTCACTGGCACTGAGATTGTAGGCTGAGACTCCCCTGATCCTAAAACAACTTTTCTACTAACAGTTCAACTTGATGAGTAAGAAAACAAAGAAAGACCTAACAAAACAAAACAAATAAACAACAAAAAAAGAAAGTTTTCTTGGATAGATAAGTACATGTGTCCCAAGTTGTCCCCCTTGGACCATCCAGGCAACCTTTAAAATTAATTCTCAAAAGGAACCTAGCAATACGTCATTCCTTAAAGGACATAGTGTTGGTAGAGTTCACTTTGTTTTTACTTTTGATAAATGTGCTT